TAAGCTGGTTCCTGGCTGAAGGTGTGATGACCCGTCCATACATGGACTGAAACACACAACTGATTTCTGAGTCTTGCCCATAGACTAAATGCCCTGCTGAGTTTCCCGCTTGCTACTAAGTCTGTGTGTGCACGCTTGCTGGACTGCATGTCTGTCTGAGTGCTGGATGGCTTGAGTGTGTGTGACCGTGCCTGTCCGAGTGCTGTTTGGCATGAGTACGTGTGTGGCCCGTCAGGGCACTTGCTCGTCCGTTGGGCCTTCAGGGCCGGTACTTACCTGTGACCGTGACATTGAGGGGTTGCAGCGGGGAAAAACACTCAAGTAGCGGGTAGGCCGGTACTGCACCTGGCAGGGGTAGATGTGCAGGTACCGGAGGCCGAGCAGAAGAAGACAGAAGTGGCATTTTTAGAGGCCCAGTAGTTGTAGGTAGGTCTAGGCGGATATCAGTCCAACCAGTCTGGGTCTAGGGCATGTAACGGGCAATATCAGAGTCTGCAATGATGTTTCCCTCCGAAAGGGAGGAGGTACCGGTTGCCGAGGCCGAGCGGCCTGGAAGTCACCGCCCAAGAGGTAAAGCAGGCCGCTATATCTTCTGGCCGGGCGGAGAGTCCGGCCTCTTTTTCGATGTGCAAGTTTGGCGACACACTGGTGGAGCGCTGGCTGGAGCAGCGCTAAGCTGGAGCAGCGCTGCTAGGGAGGAAGGAGAAGGACACGAGGGAGGAAAGAGGAGGAAGAAGGAAGGAAGGGGGAGGAGCGCCAGGGGTACTTACCTGGCTATGGTGGCAGCCATGTTCATCACCTTGGTGGGCGCTGCAGCAGGGAGTCCCCAGCTGGGGAGAGCCACACCAAGAAGCTTCGAGGTAGGGTCAGGCATGGCGGCCTGAGATAGAGCAACCATAGCTGCTTTGGGTTGTCCTTTGGGCATTTGAGCAGAGCCCAGTGGCCCGCCATAGCCTCGGCCTATGAGAATGAAGAGTGGGAGAGGCGGCTATGGCTATGGTGGACCTTAAGTGATACCTGCAGTAGAAGAGGGACTCGGACATTGATTCTGGATCAGTCATTCAACATTGTACTATTATTTCTTGTATGAATAAGAGAAGGGGGAGATAAGGAGGAGGAGATTGTTGGGCGAAGAAGAAGAGCCTTATCATTGTCTTTGCTGGTGTACATCTTCTTCTTCTTTCTTGCTTCTTCTTCTTCTTCTAATCCTCTCTCTCCCCTCTCACGTTCATTCATTTCTTTCTGCAATTGGATGGCATTGTACTTTCCGGTGGATGTGTATCTCGAAATTGGCCAGGGTCATAACATTGGTATCAGACCTCTCATTTGAAGTTGTTTGTTTTTCTTTTGCTGCTCTCTACTTCCAAATGAAATGTCGCTCCTTATTGACAGGTGGGTCAGAGAGTCGTCGGTCAGACAAAAGAATCAATTAGACTCTCAAGAGGGTCACTCTCCCTCTCACTTGGACAAACACTCATTTTCCCAGTCCTTGCCCACTTCAGACGGTCACTTTCCCTCTCTCCCTTTTCTCTCTCCCTCCTCTCTCTCTCTTCTTTCTGGCTGCGAGTCTCCACGGGCATCGGAAATGAACTCAGAGAAACAAACTGAAAAGCTCAGAGAAGAGAAGGTAAAATGGCTCAGCTAACTTCAGTGCAATGGCGGACCTTGTTAGATGCAGCCAGTGATACCGAGAAACCATATCTACAAGCACTCCTAGATAGTGCAATCAAAAGGGAACAGGAGGCAGAGAAGGAGAGGAAGGAGACCTTGCTGAAAAGGCAGGTGGCCATCCTAGAGACTGTTCCCTCACTGACTGAACCGCAGTGTGGGGAACTGTTGCAGTCTATCCTCACTGCCCTTGTTCAAGTCAGGAATATTGAGGATCATACCACTCAGATCGCTGAAGTCTTCGCAAAGTTGCGGACACTTCAAGATGATCTGACTTACATGACCCGCAAGTACCATGAACTGACAAAGGAGGTGGCTGAGCTGCGGCAAGCCCAAGTGGCCAACCCTCTTCCTCTACCCCTTGGAATTGAAGCTGCAATGGAAACTACCTCTGCCTCTCTGACTGTATATCTTCTTCCTTGAATGTGTTGGCAACCCCCTCGGGACCTGCAACAGGTTCAGATTCCGCTGTTGCTGTGACAAGCAACGAGGCTGGAACTTTTGCAACTGCTGCAGCCCCAAGATTGGAACCAGCAGGTGCTGGTCCCAGCTACGCTGGTCCCTATGTGGATCGTAAGGCGGTTCAAATACCGTCTAAGTACGACGACAAGGAAGACATCGAATCCTGGATCAGCTCCATGAGGGTTTCAAGATTCTGGGGATTCAACCTAAGAACCAGTCTGTGATCATGGGAATGAATGTCGAGCCAGTCGTCCGGGGCTTCTTAGAGGTCCAAGCTACACGAGCTGGGATTCCTAAAAGCCAACTAACAAGATGGCTTAAGGCCACCCCGGTTGCCTCCCTCGAGGAACTCCTCATATCACAATACGTGGATCCACATGCTGCAGCAAGGGCAAGAATTCAGCTTGAAAAAATCAAGCGCAGCAAGTGGACAGGCTCCATGAAAAGCCTGCAGACTTATCTTAGTAAGATGTTCGCTACACCTGGATTGGAACTAACTGCTCAATCTTGCTTGGATGTGGTCAAAGGCGCGGTTCCCACTAACTTTACTAATCATTTGGGCAGGGACTTCATTGGTTACACTGACTGGTTCACCTTGATGAAGGACATAGTCAGTCTTGAGGTTGTAGACCTCGTCACCACAGCAGGCAGCAAAAAGCCCATAGGCGGCAGACGGTTCAAAGGCAGCAACCGTCCTGTTGTGCATGACCTGCTGGAGGCCGAAGAAGAAGCCGATGCAGATGACCCCACTCTTGGTGACGACCAAGAGCTGATACTGCCTTCAAAAAAAATGCCAATGCAAAGGGACCAAATGGGAGTGCAAGGAAGAACTATGTCCAACTTCCCAAGGACATCAAGATCCCACCTAAACCAGAGGATGCAACTACTAAACCTTGGGTTGACCTCCGGATTACTGAAAATGACTGGCGGGGTAGACTCAAGAAGGGGGTATGCCTGCATTGCCAAAAACCAAACCATAAGGTACAAGATTGTTATAGGCTGCAGTGAAACCAGAATCGGGCGTAGAGTCAACTTCAGCAAACTCTACAGCAGGGGAGACTGAATCTGAGGCAGATCAGCAGTCCTCCCTTGAAGCCCAGTCATCTGCTGAACACAAGGCTGAGGTGAGTAATGTTTTGTATGTCGAGCCTTGGGAGGAGTCTGGGACGGTCGACTTTCACTACCACTTGGAGCATTGGGCTGAGATGAAACAGCAGCGTGCCCAGGGGACGGTGAAGTTGATCTTCTTCAAACTTCTCATAAACCACCGCTATCTCCGTGTTTTGGTCGACTGTGGTGCTACGACTAACTTTATGTCACCTCACGGGATACACAAAGTGGACTTGGGGATGAAGCAAGTGGCCCCGCAGAACCCTTGCCGGACCCAAGTTGGCAAAAAAGAAGTTGTCTCCTCTACGCATGCAGTCAAAGGTGTGCGCACTACCTTTAACAAGGACAAAACTGTCACACACGCGTTGAACTTCTATGTTCTTGACAAGTGCCCCTTCGACGCTGTCCTTGGCTTGGGCTGGCTGCAGTCCCAATGCGAATGGACCAAGTGGAAGGAGTCACTTTTCATGATCAAAGATGCTAGAGGGAACGAGTTTCCTGTCCTCTTGAATGAGAAGCACGAGCCCCCAGTGACTTTTCTGAATGCAATGTAGTTCTGCAAGAAATGGCGCAAGCACAAGGAGGAAGAACAGTTGTATGTTGCCTTTGTTCGTCCTACCCATGTGCCATCTACTTTTGCGACTACTACCACTACTACTTCGATTAGTGATCCTACTTCTAGTACTTCTACTTCTAGCACCTCTATTTCTCCACCCTCTAATGGCCCAAATGATCCTACTTCAGATTCGGTCGTCTCTATACGCGACCTGCGACCGGATCTAGGCAATCCCTTTGCTGATCCCCCACCCCCACCGGTCCCACCAGACATCCAAAACCTCCTCGATCGGTTCCCAGAAGTCCTGGCCGAGCCACATGGAGTCCCCGCGCGATCGGTCCGACACACCATCGAGTTGGCACCTACATGTATGCATGTTGCAGTGATATTGAGACAAGTCTAATTGCACCTCCCTCCTCCTCATCCGTGTATGTATCGGACCTGGCGCCCTCATCTATGTTTACTGGCGCCAGGCCGCTCACACCGTGTGATGATGATGATGATGTTCAGTCTGTGTCGCGACATTGATTGGGTCTGATTGTTGGTATTTCAGTCTTCCGTTGTGCTATCATTGCTCCAACTTTTAGAGGTCGGTTCTTGGTTCTGGTCTGCTTCATCTGGCATGCGACAGCTACCCTCCCTTTTCAAACCATCATGATCGGGATCCGTACGCCTGATCCAGACACCGGACACCTGACGGTCCGGATCCCTGTTCGGGTGACTGGATCGTTGCTATGATCTATACCCATACATGATACATGTATTATGGCATACGGGGATGTGGCCAGCTCGTGTTCAACTTCATCAACGTGGCGAGCCTTTATTTGAGGGGCACACTAAAGGGGGAGCTGAAAGAAGAAATGGTCAAAAGAACGGTTTCAGTGTGCTCTTCATGTTTCTCTTCTGTATTTTAACGTTAGCTTCACAATTTGCACTCTTTTAGCCGGTGGATATGTGATAATGTATTGATGTGACAATACATCATATTGTTTTGGGTTGTCTGCTACACACATTTGTCCTCTTCCAAGTGTCGGCATGCATTGGGGTTGGTAGTGTGTGTGTCTATAGTTGTGAGCGCTATGTTGGTTCTTCTTCTTCCTGCAAGTGTTGACATACATCTGGGTTGGCGGTATGTGTGTGTGTGGATGTGTGTGCTATGTTGTCTGTTCATGATCTGTAATGGTGGTGGAGGTGAGATGAGCAGGATGCTCACTCGCAATAAACTGATAGGTGGCCTGCCGGAATCACTGAGGGGTCTAACAAACATTCAACAACTGTGAGTAAATCTCTATTAATGTTATGAAATGAAATGGTGAACATTGCGATACTCCAGGATTACTATCATGACTTATTTACGTTTTTGTTGTGGGTAAGGCAAAAACTGAAAGCTACTGTTCTGGGTTACCCGGCAAAGGTGATTGATATGGTGAAAGATATTGGAGAGCTTGTCGAATTCAAATTTCAGGCCCTGTGAAAACAGCACGAACCCTAGTGAAGTTTCTCTTGCAGCTTTAAGTCCATGTGATGGACTGATAGACTACTGCAATTGTGGGGTGGTTTTCTTTGTTGGAGGTTAAAGAAACTAATAAACTATCCATGGTACTGTGAAACTACAGCACACATGTGATGGT